TATATATATATATATATATATATATATATATATATATATATATATATATATATATATATATATATATATATATATATATATATATATATATATATATATATATATATATATATATATATATATATATATATATATATATGAAAGGTCCATTATGGACCTTAGGTGCATGTAATAATATACTTGAATTAAAAATATACTATTTGTATATTCTTCGTACATGGTTATTAACTTTTTTAATTATGTATGTTCAAAACACATGGCATCTCATTTAATATTCACTCCGTTAATAAAAAAAGATTCTCAATTTGACTTGACACAAAATTTAGAAAAATAAAAAAGTATGGTTGAAAGTGATACAGTATAAAGGAAAATCGTGAATTACTTAAAATTTTCCATAAAACGAAAGAATTTCTTTATGTGGAGGGAGTCTCAAATTACAAATCAATGTGTATTATTTAACTATGTTCTAGATAACATGTTTGTTTTTTTTGTAAAGAAAAAAAACACGCATGTTAGTTTTGTTTGTATAAATATAATATATTACTCGTATTTAACAATGAATATTGTCATTATAATTATAACTTTCACAATTGTACTCCTTCCAATTTATTGTACGCAACAGAGAAAATGAGTTGTTGTGTTATAATGAAGTAACGTCTATCAATTAATTTTGAATGGTAATCAAAATTATAGTAATAAGAATAGTAAATATCAAATTCACACACACACACACACACACTTTGAGCTCTCCCCGTACGGGCATATTTATTTAAATTTCATATGAAAAAGTTTAATGGTGTTGGGATTTTCGTCCCACATCGGAAAAAACAAAAAAGGTCCATATATCTTTAGTAGGTGCAATTGAAGATGGTGGAGGTATGCTTGGGTCGGAATAGAGTGGAGGTTAGGATGATAAAAACCGTTAATTTTACAAATGGAACACTAAAACATCTCATGTCATCCCATAACATTGATTTCCAATGAATGTCACCAGAATGCGCGCTAAATTATTAGAGCATGTGCAGTGGCAAGGAAGAGGAATGTCTTGCATTGCCACATCAGCTCTTTCCACTCATATCATGGCATGACAAGACTTAAATGCCTTGCTTGGTGAGGCATGAGTGTGACACTCAATCCTCCTTTTTCTATTTTTTTTAAAATAATTTTTTAAAAAAGTTTTTAGGGAAAAAAATGTACAAGAAAGTAGAATAGTTTTTTTAATAAAATAAATAATAAAAATAATTTTTTATGTTTAAAAAACATTTAAAAAATGTAAAAAGTGATAAAAATAATGACTTGCCACTCCATTCACTTGTCACACGCTGACTGGACTATTTTTGATTGGTTAAAATGTTCCATGTCACCGTGTGACATTCCATTTTTTCCTTGCCATTGTTGATGATGTTAGGAAGTGCTTAACACCAAAGATGATGGACAATATATAGAAGCAAAAAGGTTGCAAATCATTACAAGAACAACCGAATTTACAAGTCTGGGTGGGCTTGGGGTATGAAATGAAGTATGATCTAGTTAAGCCTGAGTAGTTCAGTTAGAGGAGAATGGAAGTTTAATTAACAATTTGTGTTAAATATTCTTTTTTCATCCCAATTTAAGTTACATGTTTATTATTTACATGGCTAAACTTTAACTGATTTTTTTATTCATCTTCCTTATTCATTTGATAAATAATATAATAAAGTCATGTCACTTATTGTTTTGTAAAAATTTTGATGTAATTTTTAAATATATGTATTTTATTTTTAATTCTACCCCAATTTGTACAACTATAATATGTAGTGCTCCGTATAATGTTTTTGGATCAAACTCACAGAATAACAATATAATATCAAAAATACTAGAAGTACACAAAAAAATGTATCTCAAAATATCTCCGCCACATAATTTAAATGTTGATAAAAAGGTTTAATAAATGGTAAAGAATATATGATGGAAAATAATAGTGTACAAATGAGATATATCATTTGGTGTACGATGACGTTACTCATAAGAAAGGGGAAAAGGATATTAGTTGCAAAGTTGACTTAGCTATAAATGGGTCTATCCCTCACTTAGAAGTAGGTGATTTTAATTTGGGAAATTGTACCACCATTAAACCCTAATCTTTTACTAATTGTCAATCTTATGCAACGTGGAATCCCTATTTACGGCCTAAATAATAATAAATCCAAATATTTGTGCAGAAATTTAAACCATGGTGGCATTCTCTGTAGAATTTTCAAATATAAGGGTTAAAATTGTCATTCTCAAATTCACCTAAAGAGGACAAAGTAGATGCCTGAGCCTGAGGTGGGAAAATAATCAAATTGGCTCTAACGTTTACTTTACAACTTTTATTTGTAACTAAAAAATCATTAATAATTGAATATGAATTTTAAAATTGTGGGGGAATTTCCTTCCTACAAATATCTCCCCTTTTAATATTCAATAAATTCTTTTCTAACTTTTCCTATTTTATAAAAAAAATCTCATTTTTATTAAATTTCCAAGACGGACTCCAAACCATGTGCTCAACCAAAGTTTATTCTTTCAATATTGCAAATTAAATATTAGCCTTTAGTTACTGTATTTGTCTTTTTTTCTCAATTTAATCAAAATTGAATATTAATTTATTTTTTCCCAGCTTTATTTCCACCCACTTTTCCGGCAAAACCCTAATTACAGACCCCCATTCATCAACAAAAAATAATTGTGACTTCATCTCACCCAGTAAAATTGGTTGAAAAAAAAAGAAAAAGAAAAAAAAAAGATAGAAGAAGCTCATTTTGTTCATCAGATTTTAAATTATTTACAGCTTTTACTTTGTACTGCAATGGTTGGGGTTACGCTAGGATTCTTGGAATTGAAATTTTTACTATGTGTTTTGTAGAGATTTACAGAGCTTCTTCTGTAGTGGGCTGTTTACCGTAAGCTTTTCTAGCTTCTTATTTCTCAGTTTTGTTTTAAAGATTAAATTTTTATTGCTGGAGTTTTGATCTTGAAGATTAGGGTTTTAATCTTCATAAAGTTATACTCCGTAATAAGGGTTTAAAGAAGAGACAATTTGGGTATATATTAATGGAGGAGAAAGGGGTAAATAGTTCAGGCGACACAGTGAAAGGAGATGAAGGTTATCAGATGGTGGGTCCGAGGAGCGAAAACCATGGGAGCCAGCTAATGACTGGATCGACGCCGACGCCGTCGAGCAGTGCGGCGGCGGTGGCGCCACCCCCTCCTCAAGCGGAAATGATGATGATGAAGAAAAAGAAGGGAAGACCCAGGAAGGACGCAACACTGTCCATGGCCCTCTCCCCAATGCCCATTTCTGCTTCGATTCCTCTTTCTGGCGATTATTCTGCTTGGAAACAGAGTACTAATCGCCCCACTGGTTACTCAAAGAAGAAACATAAGCTGGAATTTGAAAACCCAGGCAAGGAACACCCCCCCACCCCCTCCCCACACACCCACCCACCCCACCACTGTCACACA